TTATAAGTTTATTATGCTTTGAATGTTCATCTAATTATATAAGTTATATTCATTTACTTAGTATATTGTATATTTTGTCTTTTTAAAATTTGTCCTTTATGTCTATTAGTCTGTATTTCCTGGTATATAATTTTGATTAATGTTACAATATTGCAGGCTTAGTGGTTTCACTTCATCAATTCCGAGAATTTTTGTTACCGGACCGGACCAAGGCATTGTCAATGAAGGTAGCCCGGACCAGGATCTAAAGGTTTTTTTAGGTTATCAAGAAAGTACTCCACAAATTAGATTTCCCAAAATGCCCTTCCTATATCTTTTTTAATGAAACATTCCTGCACACTTTATATTAAAGGATGAATACTTAATGCCTATAATTTACATTTCAGGTCGCTGACACAGAGCAACATCATATATAAACATTGTTATTAATGGGGAGACCTTATTATCCGTTTACACAGTTTTAGAGGTTATTTATGATATTCTATCCACATTAGCAGCCTAGAAGTTGGACTATAGTAGTTTGTTATTTAAATCGCTTCCATTGGTCTGGATCATCGCTAACCTATTCTGATGACAATTTTCCAGTCTGTTAAATTTTTGCAGAATAAGTTATCTCAAGTTACTCTCAAATTTGTTAAATATGTTGCGTTAAATATGCTGACAAATTGGTAAAAAAACTGTCAAATGGTTAAAAATGTTGTCGAAAAGGTTGAAAATGCTGTGAAATTACTTAAATATGCCATCAAATTAATGGTTTCAAAATGTTGTCAAATTGCTTAAACGTGCTGTCAACACGCATGCTAAATATGCAGTCAAAAACTACTTCCTTGAAAATGCTGTGAAATTGCTTGAACACAAAGTATAATTAATATTAAAATCAAGGGTTCAATGTTACCTCTCAGGAAAATGGTGAATTTTTTTTATGTCCTTTTTATTTTTTTTATGATATATCAATATTACGTATGTTTTGATTTATTATCTTTTTTTTTGAAGCACATCTATGGGACACAAGAACACGGAACAACATACAGAACAAGAAAAGAAAACAAAGTGAACATCTCTCTTTTTTCTATTCATTTCTTTAAATTAATATTTAATTCTTTAATTAAATTATTAATATAATCAAGTTAGAGAGGTCTAGAATCTTAACCATCTTACCTATTTGTTTCAATTACGTTGGAGTGCAAAATAAGGTTGTTTGTTTTCTTTGATGGAATGGAATAAAATTTTTATGAAGGAATGTGATAGAATGGAATGGAATGAAAAACTATGATGTATACATTTTTATTTATAAACTTTTTAACGACATGAATATGATAATTTTTCGAGCTATTTTCTAGCCATTTTCTATAAAAAAAAAAATAGAAAATAGAATTCCACTATGATAATTATTGGGCTTTAGTGTATAATATCGATATCTTATTTAAAATTTGAAAATTTTTAAAATGTAAGTTTGGTGACTTTCTTATTTACATTCTCTGCTTAGAGGATTATGTATCAGAGTTTAAATTGTCCAGGAACGTTGACCAAATAGACCTCAAATGGTGCCGATCCCTGTAGAGATCATTGGAAAGGTGTGACCTGGTTCGTTAGTGACAGAAATGTATGCTAAATCTCAATGCCCAAATCTGTACATTTTTATACATTTTGTTTTATAGTTCTTTTAACTTTTTTTTGAGTCTTTGGTACTTCAAACTGAATATTATTATAAAAAACATTGTCTTATGTTTCTTATGGTTAATTGCATGGAATGCTTGAATGTTGATAGATTTTTTGTTGTTAAAGAAATAATCATAAGTAGGTTTCTATAACAAGCTATCATGTTCAGGTAGATTTTCAAACATATAATATCTAATAAGGATAATTTTTTATAAAGTATAATGCTATGATTAGGTAGATTTTCTATCTATATCAGAACCTCTAACCGGAAAAACGACATTGAAGATTCTAATTTGATTCTTGCTCTTGCTTATGTCTTGATCATCACAGGTTCGTTTGCCCCAGGAAACACCTCATATGCTTCACTCTCCAACACCGTCTCTCTCAACAAATGTTAACGCACACGGACATCTTCTTTCTCTTCCTGTTAGTTCATCTTTTCACTTAATGATTTCATGTCGCTATTCGTAAACCTGAATGATCTGCAGTTTGTTTTTTTCTTATGCTGTAAAGATTCAAGGTGGAAAGTGTCAGTCGACAACGTCATCAGATATGTGAAGGGTTTGTCTTGGAAACACGAGTCCGCTGATGTTGACGCCGCACTTGCATAGAATGTTACGAGGAGGCGATCGCCACTGAGGAAGAATTGAAGCATGATATCGAAGAGGTAAAATCAAAAGTTAAGTTTCTCCGATCCCAAATTGATCTACGAATGTTCCGTCACCTTTACAATCAGGTATGAAAAAATATTGTAGGTTTACGAAAAAAAAAACTTACCCACCTTTTTACTATAACCATAAAAGTCTTTGGTCAAAATGTGATGGGTTGACCTACGAACAATTTTTCAACCCGTGTTGAGATTGGATGAATAATTAAGGGACATTTGCATAAAATAGCAATGTCATTTACTTTTTTTATTTGTAGTTATAATACTCTAATATTATTTTTATTATATGATTATCTGGCTTCACACTTTGTTCGAGACCATGCCAGAGAGCATTATGCCTTCCGTGGTCCTAAAAAATAGAAAAGAATCGTTCGTCTCTTTTTTTTTCTACACTACTCCAGGCACCAAGTATTTTTACTTGACCACTTTGCCCTTGATAAAAAAATTATTTTTAATGTTGATTAAACATTCACTCCAATATGTTGACTTGGTAAAGTAAATGATAGTTTTGCATTTTTTAACCATAGATACTTTTTTTCCATTCAAACCATCAAAATGGATAACTTGGAAAAAAAAGATTTCATTGGGTCCAACTAAATTGAAAAAAATGATTTGATTGTGCCACGTGGAAAACCTATCACTATTGAAACATTTTTCGCATGGAGAGAAAAATTTGAAGCACAAATAGCCCTTCAGAGAGCCAAATAATTAACAGAGTTTGTTATTTTCCACAATTTATATAATTATTAATTACTACCCTCCCACTTTCAGGTTATTACTAGAATCAGCTCTTACTACAAGCAAAAAAAAAACTCACTGGAAGACAATGGTTCCAAAGTGGAAAAGCTTATACAGTAAGTTATTCTGTTTATGACTTTATGCTGATGTGGCATTAATGACTTCAAATGGCAATGATGTGGCGATGACATGACATTAATATATATTTTATATTGTTACTTTTGGCAGAGACATACAACACCAATCATGGAAGGATCTAATGATGAAGAGGAAGATGATGATTTCGATGATGATTCTGAAGGTTTGTTTTCTCACTATTTTTTTCTCTATTTAAATACTTGTCAATATATGGAATTTATTTTGAATATAATGTCTGTCTAGTTGCAATATTTGACGTGTTACCATGTTGTTGACTAAGAACCACCACAGATTGATGAAGTCATACTCAGAATTTTGTCTACATCTAGAGTGCATTCCTCTGGTTTTTCCAGGTGATATCAGAGTTTCAGTACATTTTTGTGCCTAGAATCACACAAATTTACTAAACCTAACTTTGATTTCTATCAGTGATGCAGGATTTAGTGGTGGTGGACTGCTTATACAGTCGGAGATGCAACATGGTTCGATGAATATGGTGGCAGGTGCTCAGAATGTGAATGGGGTTGCAGTCAGTGGACCTGAAGAGTATTTGGGTAATTCGAGGTTTTCCTATTAGGTTACTCATGGTTATGGCAATGGTCCCTCAACTATATTTGGGTCATTTTAAAGTTGCTTCCTTTTTGTCTTTTTTGGTCCCTCTACTTCCGTTGGTTATTTGTGGCATTATAGGTTCCTATGTTTTCGTTTAATTGTCACTTTATTAGTTTTGCTTACAGATTCATTGATATTTTTTTAATTTTTATTTATTTGTTTATCTATAGATCAGTTAAAGAGGGAAGGAATGAGCAACTCAAACTATAAACATTTTCAAAGAACAAACAACGGAAAAAATTGTCGCATGTTACGGGGGTTCCCCATCTAGTTATTATTATTATTGAAAATATATAAACTTTTAATGGTTAAACTAAAAAAAAAATCATCGAAAGTTAAAAAAAAGAATTAACAAAAAATTATCTTTAACCGAAACATAATCTTTTGTTTGTTATTTGCAATTATTATTATTATTTTTTTTTGAAAATATATAAAGTTTTAATGGTTAAACTTAAAAAAAAAAAAAAAAAAAATCAATGGTTAGAAAAAAAAATCATAACTACAATGGATTTTTTTTAGAATTTTAGCTAATATTTGCTAAGTCCGCTTTTAACCTACCAGGCTACCACCGTCATCTTATCTCAAACTTGGTACTTGGCCCGTTTGAGAAAAGCAAAAGAGGCCTTCCTTATAAATCAAGAAAGTGTCTAGTGTTCAAAATTCCATACAGAGACCCCACATTTGCTAATCAAACACCCACCATAATCCCCCACCTTTTAACATATATTTTGATAATTCCAAGAAACACTATACAAACATGCATAAAGAAACAATTTTTGGACTTGGAACTTTTTTTCATAATGATTTAATGAGTACATATCACTATATTAGATTTGTTGTTTTTTTTTTACTGAATAAACAAAATAAGACTAAAAGATCATTTAAACCTTACATTCCAAAACTTTTTGCATAATTTTCATCAACTTAATGCGAGAGGAGTTGGAAGAAAAAAATAACAAACTCATATACGTAAAGGGTTATGTCTTAACACATTAAGCCAGGTCTTATGGCTTAACCCTTTAAGTCATTACGTCCATATTAAGTCAAAAAATTCTTGTTTTTGGTAATTTCCTAAAGCATTCAACCAACATATCTTATATATTACACAAACCATGTATATCGATTAATATCAGGTAACTAATTACAACTTCCAAGCAGACTCTGAAAACTAAAATTACGTTTCAGTTTGCTGCACAAATTTCTAAAACTCACTCACACTTCCTGTTTAAGATAATAACATTAATTCTCTCTACTTAACCGTTAGAACTAATTTCATCACATAAATACACCCAAATTACACAATTAACTTTTAACAATTAAAACACAAAAGACATTAATTATAATCTTTTGTGGGTTATCCAGCAGCAACCGCGTCAGCCCTGGGACTAGCACCCAAAAGCTGACGTAGTGTTGCACCTGAACCACCAGTATCAGTATCAGTATCAGTACCAGTACTAGAACCAGAACCATTATCGACTCTGGAAAGAAGGTTAGCAGTGCTCAGAGACAACCCCTTTTTGTCTAGCCTTGGGTCTTCTGTGTCTTGTTCAATTTGTGACTTTTTGAGTTTTTCCTGTAACCCAAGAACCACATTATATTCCAATTTTTCGTATTATTTAATAATAATAAGATTAGGGAATTTTCGTTTTTCACAAGTACCATTAATTTAGCATTTTGAAGCTTCAGATTTGATGAATTAACAGTTAATCGGTTAATCTCGGATTTGAGTGTCAAATTTTCACTAGTGAGAGATTCAACTCTTGTTCCAAGTTCTTCTGCTTCAGCCTGAATAATTCATTTATTTAAATTAAAACAATAAAAATTGTATTATAAGAATAATAATAATAATAATAATAATAAGAGTTTCTTTGTTACCTGTTTCCTTAAGCGTGACCTCCTGGCGGATTCACGGTTAGACTGTTTTCTTCTCTCCCTTTTCAATTCTCTCTCATTCTAGACATAAATCACAAACAAAAACTTAAATTTTTTATTTCAAAAAAAAATGTTTGGATAATTTTAAATTTATAGAAATAAAAATACCTGAACCATGTTAACATTAGTTGGAGTAACAGCAACACCTGTCACTTTCTTTAAGCTTCCATTTTCATTGGTGGAAGGAAGTTGGTCATCTGTCTTGCCAATTTCAGCTAGTAGAATAAAAATATAATATTTTAAATAATATTTTTAACCCTAAAAATAATTTAAAAATCAAGTGGAAAATGAAACTTACAACTTGTAGATGATCCACCACGGCTTCTTTTCTGACCACTTTTAGCTCCCTGAAAGTAACATGAAATAATTTTTAAACATCATTTACAATAAAGGAATTGTACAATTTATGTTACAAGTTTTATTTTTTTAATTTTTTTACCTCTGTTGTATTTCCATCACTTCCTTCACTAGAACCTTCAGTCTCCCCACTGTTTAAAGATTATAAAGATTTAATCTTTAATGACTTTAGATCTGATAAAATATATAATATTTGCATACCTGTGAGAGATTCCATTTTCATTCCCTATTGACATTGCCAACCCATCAAATACTTTCAATTTCTTAATCAATCCTCGATCTGAATTCCCTGATGACTTGGCAGGAGAGTCAACATGCATAGGACTTGCAGCCTGTTTTAAATTTTATATAAATTTCAATGAAATTTATATAAAAATGTTTTAAGAGCTAAATGTAATAGAAACTTACAACAGTAACCCCTGGATGTGAATAAACACCTTGTGGATAGATTGCAGCATAAGGTGGCATCATATGCTGAAGAACCACAAGTCAACAAAAGGTCAACTGTATAATCTTCATTATTTAAGTTTCAATATATTGAAATGAATTAAAGAAAGTCATGGTGGAATGAATGAATGAATACCTGTAGTGGGCCCCACATGTAAGGTGGAGGTGAATGACCAGATGTAACAGTTGAGTTGAAGTAATGTGGGATAGCCATTCTTGGGCCATAGTAAGCCTGCAAATATAATGTTAAAAAGATCAATTTTTATTAGTTTCAAAAGCTTAATTTTAGTTCAGTTATAATTATTATTAATTAATTAGTAATTAATATAATAAACCTGCATGGCTCCCCAATCAGGATACACATGACTGGTCTGCTGCTGCTGCTGCTGTTCCTGCTCCTGATCACAAGTTAAAGTTAATAAAAAAAAAATTATAATTAAAATAATTGAAAATCAAATTACAAGATCCAAATGTTGTTTTGCATCTTACTTGAGGAGGTGAAGAAGATGTTACTTCAGGCTTACAATTCTTTGCTTCTTCACAGTTCGCCATGGTCAAACAAACACCTTAAACTGATTCCAAGATGATGTTGACCTTTCAATGATCAGAGCAATCTATAAGATTTGTTTTGTTAAATACTTGATGAATCAGCTGCAGATGAAGAGATCATATGAATAAACAATAAGATCATAAAAATACATAGGGGAAAACTTACATCTCCTAGGGTTAGAACGTGGTAATTACTCGATCTATATTCATATCAAGTTTATCTCTTGAATTATCTAATACGTGTGTTTCAAATTGGAATCGGATCAAAATCTGGATCATGTTTATTCCAACTTCAATTACTCCCCCCCAAACCAACAAGTTATCACTTTATAAATCTATGATCTCGACCTAAAGCAAAAAGGGGGAAAGAAAAAAGGAAAAAGAAAAGGTACAGGTTGTTTGATTTGTTGTCCTTCTCCTCTGATCCACATCTGAAGACGATAAAGTAAAACAACCCACCCAGATTTACTAATCTGGCAATCCAGGATGAACTAGTAACTGATATACAAAAGAATCCTCGTATTTACACTCCAAAAAGTAAAATAGAAATTAAATATATAAAAATATTTAAAACATCAATGAAAAAAATAGTAAATACTATAATCGGAAGCTTCAAAAAAGAAAGTTGGTTTATATCTACGCAATGTTTTCAGTAATTTCAGATACTCGTTCTAATTGTAGAGTTTAAATAAAATTTAGTTCTCGCTGTGCTTATTTGCCCAATTTCTTCAGTTTGATCTCTCTGTATGCATATATTTCTCATCAAGTCCTATGCGTAAGCAACTAAAAATCATGATTAGAGCGAAATCAACGAAAAAACACCAGATGAACGAAAATTCTACTCCGAACGTTTGAAAAAACATAAAAATTCAAGTAATTATGATCGAAATTACTAAATTTGCAAGTGAATTGTGTAACAACAAAGGGTTTAGAAGTATGGATCAAGTAAAGCTCAGAATTTAGAGATACCTGAGTTATATGAAAATCTGCTGCATTTTGTTTCTCTCTCTAAAACGAGGGAGGGAAGAAGTGTGGGCTTTTTGCAGGATGTAGAGAGGGACAAGGCAGCATTCCACGTCACAATACACGTGTTCTTGGGTTATACTAAAAAATCTGGAATACAAATAGTGAAATTTTTTAATCAAACTATTCAAATTTCAAAAATCAAAATCCTCATTTAATCTTTTATTTAAAAAAAGAAAAATTGCACTAAAAATCTTTAAATTTGTCGTTTGTAGGGCGTGTTCAACACGGAGCGTTTGAGATTTAAGAGTTTCTAACTTCTAGCGTTTGACAAAACGCTCCGTTTTGAACAGAAAGCCTCGTTCGACACTACAAGTTTCTAGCGTTTAGTTTAAACAAAACGCTTCAAATCCAAATGCTACTTTATGTAGCGTTTAACAAAACCCTACAAGCTACAAGCTACAAGCCACTCGCTACCAGCTAATTTTGCCGAACACGTTCTTAATGGATTTATCGTAATATTGATTTTTTAAAAAAATATTCTAAACTTTAGAACTTTTTTACATTTTTGCATTTATTAAGTTGTTAATCATTTTTCTTAACGACAAATATAATTTTACTCATAAATTAAATATAATTTCCTTTATGTCGCAAACAAGATTTGAACATTCTAACTCAATAAAAAAAAATACAACATCTGATACTTGATACTGTTGGGTTAGAAGACTTTTGGTCAAATTAATAATCATTTTGTTGGTAACTTTATGCTACGTGGCTTTCACGTCTTTTGTTTTTAACCGGAAATAGAGGCATGCGAATTTTCCCCATCTGTTGTTTATTGTAAAACTAGGGGATGCATTCCCGTGCGTTGCAACAGAAACCTAGAAAGGATTAGAGCGGTGTTATTAGTTTTGAAATCAAATAATAAAAGTTTATGAGTTTGTATATATTCAGAGACGGCTACTTTATCAGTGTCTTTCACCGATTCATCTATACTTTTATTATATAAGAGATTTGTGTTGTTTTTTTTTTTCTTTTTTAATTTTGTAAAATTATATTTTTGAAAAAAACTTAGGTTTTAGAAAAATATACAAATTGTTAAACAAAAATAGTGATATTTTTAAATCTTTTTTAAACAAATTTGAATGTTGATGCAAAAAACTAAAGCATGCACGATATAAACTTTATAAAAGAACTACGTTTAATCTTACATAACAAAAGGAATTTTATAAACTTTATAAAAGAACTACGTTTAATCTTACATAACAAAGGGAATTTTATATAAAGACAAATATATAAAAAACTGATTTGTTATATACAACTGTACATTAATAAAATCGAATATGTAAAATGATAACAATTTTGTAACAAAACACTAATGTGTAAAAAGAAATCTTAAAAAACAAAGATGTGAAAACTGAAAAATCTTATTAAAACCATATATAAAAATGAGAATGTAAAATGGAAATTATTATAATACAGATATTACATTATTAACAACTAATTATAAAATCTAATTCATTTAGGGCCACATGTCCTAAGAATATATTATTTTTTTCATGATTAAAACATTCTTTAATTCTAATAAACTTGTTAATCCCCTTAGAAAATATATTGTTTTGCCATAAACTTGTGGATCTCCTTATCTACATCATCAATTTCACTTTAATTTTATTTTCTTAGTATTCGTTATCTATTATCGTTTTTCTTTCAACCCTACTAAGAGAATTCTTGCACATTCTTTAAGTATCTGGATTTTTTCCGAGCCCTTTTGGTTGTCTTCTTCATTCACCGTCATCGCTTTAGATATATAATCAAACATCTTAATTGGTAGTAGTCCTCCATATAGAAGTTCGGATGATATGAGCCGACTTCTAGAAATAAATTAAGATTGGAACAACAATAATATTCATCCTTACAGTATCAAATATCATCTTCACACGGTGTTTTAACTTGCCTAAATAAACTCATGTTTATTTGAAAGGTAATGAACAACTTTTCATTAAATATTGACTATCATTTGTGAGAATTTATTGTTATCATGATTCTCATTCCCTTCCGAAAACAATTGTGTTCGAATGACTTGCGGAATGTAATACTCATTCACTATCCGTACAAGTGTTACTAGTGCCTACTATTTTCCTATCTATTTTAGATGATGACAAATTTAATTTAATTTAATTTAAATTTGATTGAGATCTTAAATTTTTACACTTGTTATCATCTTAAATAAATAGAAATAAAAGGTAGGAAGATATTTAAATTCTCTATAATAATACAACAAAAATCTCAAGCAAATAGTTTGATTGTCAGTTAGCCATTTTATAACTGATTTGCTAGTTTCAAAAAATAAATAAACAAATAAATGTATGTCTAGCTAATTCGCGATCAAGATTCACATGCTTTATGCTTTGTGGTCTTTTGTGAGAGTTAATTTTGACTTTACAAAAAGAGAAATTAAATATTCTTTTACTTAGGTTGTTATGTTTGACGTACTAACTGAAAAGTTAGCTATTATATGAAAAGTTAGTTGAAATCTAAAAAAAAGTTAGTTGAAATCTAAAAAACTAGCTGATAACAAAATGATGTTTGGTAAACTAACCGATAAGGTAGTGAAAATATATAAAATGACATAACATAACATTTAAAATAATATGTTTTCTATAATTAATTAATGAGTATATTTGGAACATTTTTAAAAAGCTCCCGAAAAACTAGTCTATGTAGCTTTTTAAAAAAAAACTAGCTTATAAGCTACTGTTTGGATTTCCAAACATCACAACTTAAAAAAATCTCAAAAAAATCAGTTCGCTTATCAGCTAACTGTAATGCGCCAAACATATTTTTATCTATCATCCTATCAATTTTAGATAATGACAAGTACAATAAAAATTTATTAATTTTATTAAATAACCAATGTCATACTGTATAGAAAATTATAGAAGAAAAAAATAAAAGGATAATGGATTTCTCTTAAACGATGCGGTATGGGCCAACAACGAGAAGCAACTGGATGATGTGGCACACGAAAACGCCGTCGTGACGGGGGGAACACCGCCCCCCCTTCTCGTTTCTTCTCGTTATGGCACTTCTCGTGCTCATCGCAACTTATTGAAACGGGAATCAGAACCAATCAAAATCAATTTTCTTCCTCCTTCTCTCTTTCTCTCTCTACATTTTTCTACCTCTTAACAAGTTATAACATTGGAACACCATTTCCTACATGGTGTTATGGTGGTGTTAAGGTTGATGTGACATGTAAGATGACGTTATAACAACGGCCCATACCCAATGTTCTTACAAAAATATATATTCTACAAATACAGGTCATTTTTGTTAATAACTTTTTAATAATTAATTATTAAATCAAATTACTTCACATTAGATACACACGTGGAAAGTATCCCGTAGACGGTGCTGATTGAGCTGTCCAATTCATTACCATGCTGGCTGTCGTGTATTCCTTTTTTAATTGCCAGGCAGAATTTACAGTCTACCCCTTCTTTATGTTACTTATTTCGTCCTCAATAATTTTGCCTGATGAAACTTATTTCCTATTTTACATTACAAGAAACTTTTACATTTTCAATTAGAGAAATTAAATATCCTCAAACCTTTTTTTCCTATCAATCTTTTTTACCCATTTAAATGATGACATGTGTCATATTAATATCCTAAAATATCATTAAGTTTCATTAAATGAACATTAAATGTTACACATATCACCATTTAATTAGGTAGGAGAATATGCAGAAACAAAAAGTGAAGAATATTTAATTTCTTATTTATTTTATATTATACTATGTGTAAAATCTGTGTATTACACGGATTAATTACAAAAAATAAAATATTAAAATGTAAATAATAAGTATTTTTTAAAATAAAATTTTGAAATAATGAATAAAGAAACATATTAATTGCAATTTAGTATAATATTTATTATATTTGATACTTTACATATATAAGTATAAGATTATGTGGCTTTTTAATTTTAAAAATTGAAAAAAACTATAAATTGACATGTGGATATTATTTATTTAAAAAATATCACAAAATAACAAGTGTCAAAATTCATTAGAGATTGACATATGACAAAATTATCTTCATTTATTATAATAGATGTGGTATTGTGGTTAAACATACCTCTATACTTTTTAAAGGTTGTTAATAAATATGTATTTTAAATACTCCCTACAAGTTGTTACTAGTTGATTTTTACTATAAAAATTTGTAATGATTTTTGTTTTTTTAATATTATTTTATACTATAAATATAATTTAATCACAGGTTAACTTTTTAAATTTATTTGTTGAAAGGAAGTATATTTCGCATCACTTATGAAATTCTTGAAAGTTTATTTGATATTATTTTTTACTATGTTGACATTTTAAACTTGTCGGCATCAATTTCGTACGTTGTAGTTAGCATTCATTAAGTTATGACGTAATTGCCGAAAACTTAATAAATAACTCCAAAAGGGGATAATTGTGCTGTTTCCATAGTTAAGGGGGTAATAGTGGATAAACGTTATTGGCCGACAAGATAAATAGGCGGGGTGAAGTGAGAAACCACCATTTGTAAAGTACACAGGGCAGCGTTGACGATAACACGTGGTCGTTTCAGATTAAATCTGCGCGTCATCAAAATCAGGCCAATCAGGCCATCAGCACGTGGCTGACGTGGTGGCAGCCCCACGGTATTAAATCGAGTCAAGTACTACTACCTCCTTAAAAAAAATCAATCATTTTGTTAAAAAAAAAAAAGCACTATATTTGCTAAATTCAAAATTTTGTGCTCTTCTAGAATTTCTTTAATAAATAATCGAATACTTTTTAATTTGCATACAATAAAGATTAGTATTTTTATAAAAATATACATACAAAGGGTCGGGTAATTATCAACTCTTGTCTAGCCTCACAATATCATTTACTTCCTTCTAAGACATTTCTACTCCTCTTATTACCAACCAACTTTGGTTCTTCTCTCCTAAATGTTGCTAATGAAAGTCTCATTTGGACATGTCCATATCATTTTCTTTAATTTTCTGGTGAACTGCATCACACCAACATATTTGTATAGTGACATTCGGTATCATATTAATCAAAATTT